AATGTTAAAGGTCATGTTATCAACTCTGTATCACAGAGTGGGGATGAGTGGAGGGTGAAGGGTCAGAAGAGGAGCGAGAAAACCCTACCGAAAGGGGGCAGCCCCGGTTGTCACTCGCCACCTGAAAGGAGGGCCCCAGGTGATCTTGCTGTGGGTTCTGCAGCTCCTTGGGAAGAAGGAGTAGCTTTGCCTATGAAAATGATGCTTTGGGTAAGGTGTGGAGCTCTCTTGTCCTCTGGACACACTCTGGGAGGCACACTTCAGGGCTGCGACTTCCACACCACTCCGTGGAAGGCTACGGCGGAGGCAACCTCATTGCATATCCCCCAGTTCGTGCTTCTAAGCCACAGGATGACTTTGAAGAGCTTGCTTGTTCCATCTGCTTCTCTAACCCAACTCCTAGGAGAGGAAACCTATTCTGTCCCCTAGAGGTTGACGTCTTATTCCCGGAAGATGGCAAGAATGAGAAATTTATTGAATATTCCATTAAGTTGCCTTATTTTAAAAACCATTGTGGTTTCTAAATCTAGGATACGTTTTGGAAACTCTCCTGCCAGAAGCCCAGGCTGAGAAGCATCACATACTTAGAAGATGCACACCTAAGTGTTGGAAGCCGGCAGGAGAACCTTTGTATCCATCCCAAGCACTGGACCGGGAGAGACACAGCAGAAGGACATGATGTTGCCATGTGCTTTTATTGAGTGAGACGCAATGTTTAGAAAGTCTGCAACACACACCCCAAGTGGAATTTCTTTCAGTAACAGTGCCATTAGCCAGTCTGGAACCCTCCTCCCACCATCCCCTGTGTCCCCTTGTTCTTTCTTATATACACTCATGGAATGAGAGTCACCTTCTTGACCCCCTCAGAGAACGTCTGTACTCTTTTGCGATTTTCTCTGTTGGGTGCACTTGTGATAACAGGATGGAGGCCCACTCTACTCTGAGGCTGCCTTGGCTTACAGGGCTCAGTGTAGACACCAGTTCTCTTAGAATATTAAAGTAGGATACAAACACCAACCCTCCTCACCTCCAACATCTTCATCCTGTTTCCTTCTGCCCCCCAACCTCCTCCCCAAACAACTAATTATCTAAACTCTATAGGAAAGAGTTTGGTGCCTAGAGTGGTGAGTTTCTCTGTTTCTGAATGTGTCTTTCCTGCCTCAGGTTCCCTGGGTCTTTGGTGCAGAGGACACGTGTCAAGAACAGAGCTGCGCATCTGGGTCGGAGAGTGGGCACAATTCCCAAACCACCAGGACAGGGTGGCTGCTCAGGCTCCCCTCCTGGCAGGTCTCAAAGCCGCTGGACAACGATGTGCGCGCCCCCTCCCCCCGCCCAGAGCATCGGCCGACGCCCATCCGGAGACAACAGAAGTCTGGAGGCCTTTGTGAAACAGGCCGGGACATCCTCCTTCGGTCTCACACAGGCAAAATCATCACTGTGACAACATCACAAGACTCTGCTACTGTGCACAAGCTTCGTTACGAGACCTAAAATGGAGTTTTCATCAGAACAACCCCCCTCCGAGCCTATCTGCCTTCTGCTCCGCACTTCCAACCAGACAAGTATGCCTCCCTGAAATTTTAGAGATTCATATTCTCGCTGGGGAAATTAAAAAAGAAAAGAAAAGAAAAGAAAGATCTTTCCTTTCCAGATTCCTCCTCTGTGCGGACTACATGAGGAGAAGTCTGTAAGAAATTGTGGGTTGATATCTCAGACGGGGGAAAAAAAACACTTTAAATTGACAAATCAGTCCAAACCACTAAGGTTATAACTCTTTCTTTTCCCTCTCCAGCAGAATAGTAAAACAGACTTGTTATTGGCAGCTCTGTAGTGCTACGGAGAGGCCCACTCCAGCATGACATCAGCCCACCGCTTGACCCAAATCTACGATTTCACCAGAGAGCCTTTCCCTGCCTGCTTTCCAACGTGCAGAAGATGCACACGGGGGACGGGGGAAGGAGGCATAAATAAGACACAGACTGGAGCCTTTTCGATGTGTTTAGCACATTTTTGTGACTTCCTTTAATACCACAGACCTTGGTTCTCCCACCATGAGGCGAACAAAAGACAAGCCTGAGATGGGGGGGGCGGGGGCAGAGGAGGGCGGGGAGCGGGAGATCCATTCAGTAAAAAGTTGGGCTCGCCTACTTAACGTTTTTAATTGAAACGCTGAAAAAAGGAGGCAAAATGGAAAGAGAAGAAGGAACACCACAGCCGGGTAACTGCAGATATAAAAAGTCCCTTCATTAAATCCGTTGTTTTTTAATTCATAATTGAACTTAAATAAAGAGCGACCTATAGGCAGCTGTTTCTAATATCGAGTCCCCACCGCACATGAAAGACGCATTATTCCTGCAGCAGCCTCCCTACCCTTGGGTGTTATCAGCTGAACATGTTTTGAACCTACCTAATGCATTTGAGGTAGCTTGGGTTTATTTTTCTTTCAATAAAATAAATGGTTTTGTAATTAAATTTCTGCACTGCCTGTGCTTAATGGTTACACTGACAAGTGCTAATGTATGGCAAGAGAATGAGTTTGAAATGAAACATGCTGTTTTTGAATCTGCAAGCAATTTTGCAGCGGGGCCATCAGACCCCTCACGCCAGTGAAACATTTTCATTAATCTGCTCACCGCGCCCCTTGCCCACTCGGCCGGCCGAGAGAGGACACTTTTCAGCTCCCCCTTCACCCCCACCCACCCTTGCCTTTTTCTGAAACACACACACACACTCACACGTACATGCACACGCGCGCATACGTGCGCGCACACACACGCGCGTACCCACAAACATCATGAAGCAAGCCGTTGTTTGAAAACCATTTTGTGGTCTCTGGCAGGCAAGTCAGTGGAAATTCGCTGACTTTACACCATGAAATGTTGCAGCTGTCCCCTCCGAAGGGACTGGCTGCCTCAACATTTCAATCCCTGGCAGCCAGTCGACAAGAAAATCTGTCCCTCTGTTTTCCTATTTTTTGGGGTTTAACTTTTCCCCCTTAGCTAAATTTATTTTTGAATAAGTCTTCTCACAGAGAATAGAGAACAGCTATCTTGCATGTCTGGTCTCGGTCTGCATGAACCACTTACAGCCGTGGCAAAGGCGGCGCTTGGAAGAAGGTTCCTGAATGCAAACCTGGATGGTGGGCGGTGGTCTCTGCTGGCTCCCCTTCTGCCTGCTGCCCACTGCCCAGGGAGGAAGCCTGCAGCTGGTGCTTCGGCCCACACAGGTACAGGCCGCGGACGCACAACCTTGAGCCCTGTCCCTTCCCGGGAAGGCCATCTGACCACTAGCAGGATGGCTTCCCAAGGTGTGGCTGCTCTGGAGCCTGCTGGGCCCCCTCCTCAGAGGCCAAGAAGGGTGGACAGAGCCCACAAGCCGTCTGGGTTACGGGGCGATAGGGAGCAACGGGGTCTCGGCTCCAGTGGCTCCCCATGAGTTGTGCGACTCAGCATTTTCCCTCCAGGCTGGGGAGAGGAGCCAGGGGCTGCCCGCATGCATGCTGACTCACCACCGTCAGGGCAGGCCAGAATTACAAGCTGTCCTGCCCCAGCGCGGCCCTCTCTTGCTGTGTGCTAGGACAGGGTTTAGGGGAAGGGCTTCTGTGTGGTCCGGCCTCCCTGAATTTACTGCAGTGGAAGATGGAGGCGGCAGCTGCGAGGAAAGATCTCAGCTTCTCAGAGCTCCCCCATCCCTTTATAGGTCTAATTGCCTGTGGTAGGGAGGGACAAACCTTTCATTTCGTCAAAGGCTTGACTGCAGGAATCCTTGGCAAGGAGATGTAGAGACGTAGCTCTCCACCATGGTGTGAATGAGGGGCAGAGCAAAGCCCCTCCTGCGGGGGGGGGGGGTGTGGGGGGAAGAAGAAGCCTTAGAGTTAACTAGTATGTGGCTGGCAGGAGGGCAGCTCTTGGAAGGAGGTGAGAGCAAAGACGTAGGGGGACTATTGTCATAGCCAGATGGCACCTTCACGGTGGCCTTATGACGAGGTAAAAAGTTCTGGTGGACTTATGGAAGAGGCAGAGACTTAATCTTATCCAGGGTAAAGGGGTGGAGGAGAGGCCCATGTCCCAGAAGGAAGACGGGAAGGACGGTGAGGGAGTAAGGCTGGAGGGCTACTCATAGGAGCCTCAGCTGAGTCTGAGCCGGGACGCTGACGGAGCTAAGATATAAATATTGTGAGAGCCCTGTCACCTACCGCTCAGCCAACCCCCAAAGCGCTTATACATACTACCCCCTGGACGGCGGTGGAACACGTGCCCTGCTCATTCACGCGTGCGCTCGGCAAGTTAGAAGTTCTCACTGTGTGCGAGGCAGGTCGCTGTGCCTTTCAGGGGACAGGCATAAAGACAACATGGTCTGCCCTCTCAAGGATGAGGTAAGTCCTCCAGGGGAGACACAAAGGGCTGCGTGACCTCAGAGGTGGAAGCAGGGGGCTGTGCGAGGAGGAATAAAAGAAAGCTTCACGGAAGAGACAAGTCTTAAAAGATGAGTAGGCTTTCAAGAGGGGAGGATGACGTTCCAAGGTAAGGAACCAGCATGAGTGTGACAGGAACCACAGATGAGAATGACGAGTGGCCCCAAATAGAAGGTGGGTACCATGAGGGCGTGTGTGCACAGGTGTGCGTGTGTGTGCGTGCACACACGTGTGCATGCGTTGGTAGGGGTGGGAAATAGAACTGAAGTTAAGATGGGCCATCCTGAGAGCCATGATCGGGAGGCTACAAAAGCCATGCTGTATTTTGCAAACCACAGCCATCCCTTAAAGGAGTTGGAGCCTTGAGGATGGGGGGGAAGGAAAGGAGAGGTGATGTGACCCCATCTCTGTATTTGTAGTAGACCCTGTGAGCCATAAAGAGCCATCAAGGAGCGGGCTGAGGAGGGACGACAGGTAGGCAGACCAAAGGCGATTTCAATAACCCAGGTCCGAGAGGAGGAGGGCTGGCAAGCACAGGCAGTCTTCCCTGAGAGAGGGCATGGATGTTGGGGACCCTGCAGAGGGCAGGGGCAACCAATCACATGTGTGGGTAGAAGGGAGGCACCAGCCAGTCGTTTGCTACCTTCGGGATGCCTGGGAAGATGCTCGTGGCTAGGAGAGAGACAGGGAACCCTGAGGGAGAAGTGTTCTGGAGGGAGGGGGAAGAGGAGGCCCCAGTTCCGACTGGATACGTGGAATTGGAGTGTCTGGTGGTGACTTTCATGAGACAACATCCAAGGGACAGTAGAGGGAGAAATGGACCAAAACAGGAGAAAGGCAGAACTCGGAGGACCCGTCACACAGAGAGGTGCCAATGACACCGACGTGAGGGAACAGCAGGGGAAGCGGGAGATGAGGCGAAAAGAAAAGGGTGGACAGTTTTGAGAGCAGAAGCTGAAACACAGTTCTGATGCTTCAAGGAGGCCCCAGAGCGGGGAGGTGGTGGGGTGGTTGGGTTTGCAATAAATAGACAATGGTTGTCTTGCGGGGGAAGAGTCCAAGTCCCGGGAGGCTGAGTGGGAAGTGAGCAGCAGAGGCGGCAAGAGCGGGTTTCAAGCAGTGTCACCGTGATGCGTGAGAAGTTCCCTTGGGTGATGGACCGCTGGACAATGTCCGATGGGGAATCCGTAGGGGGGCAGGGATGGGACCTGGGAGGGAACTCAGGGGCAGCACGATCATGGGGGAGGCGGAAAGGGGTGGAGGAATTGACCTTGGGAAGCAGCAGCAAGAAGGCGTGATGGGCCTGAGAATGTTGGGGTAGGGGCGAGACGGGTGACAGCTCTGCCAGCCTCTTGGGGAGGGAACCCATGGGAGCCTGTGCTGACTGCAGGGGGTAGGGGCGAAGGGCATGGCAAGCGTGGTGTGGCTTGGAAAGGCGAGGCAGGCAGGAAACGGGAGAGCAAGTCAAGTGGGAATGAATAATAGGGCATTGAGCAGCCCCGAGCAGCAAGCTGAAGATGGAAAGCTGGCTGGGCCCGGCCCGGTCTGCACAGCCGCGGCGCCCTCCAGCCCTTCTTGACAGGCTGGAAGCAGGAGCAGAAGTGGAGACCGCGGCGGGCCATCTCCGGCTCCCCATGGCGTCACAGCAGCAGCAGGAGGCCAGGGGTGGGGAGAACTGGACAGCAGGAAGCCCCGGAGCTGACGTGCATGAGCTTGACCTCCAAAGTTGGTACAGCCTTGTCTTGGGCTGAAATTCGGAGACCCAATTTGGAAAAGCGCCAAATAAAAAAATACACACTCGTGCCCGAGAGAATACATCCTAGAGGTTAGAAAACTAACTCCCACGGAGGCTTCTCCTTCTCCACTCGGCCTTCTTGTGCTGCGTAATCCAGGCCCGTGGCTTTTTACATCGTTCCTCCTCTGTGCCTACCGCTGGGACACATTCTGTTGATTTACTAGCTTCCTGGAAAAAAAAAAAGGTGCTATTTACATGAAGGTAACCTCGCTTCAAAAGAGCTTTGAGTCTACAAAATTCTGTAGTTCTTGCCCTCTTGCTGCCGTGGTAAAACAAAACAAAAACAAACAAGCAAAATCAGTTTCATGGAAACCTCATTGGTCTTTTGACTTGTTCTTGACATTCAGTGGGCTCGTCAAAGCTAAACAGATACTGAACAAATTCTACCTGGTTCAGTTTGGGAAGGTAAACCTCGTCAGAGCTGTGGTCAGGCCTTCACCCTCCGAAGGATCCTGGCGCTGGTTACAGTCACCTTATGTACTACTGACTCTTTCTGGGAGAGGCAGCTTCCTAGTCTTGACCAGAGTGGAGAAAGGACCCCACGCAGGGTCAGAAAGCCTCAAGCTGGGGACAAGCCCAGAGGAAGGGTCCAACATCCTTTGGATACTGTCCACCAGGACCCTCCTTCCTGACAAGGGGAAGTGATTCTGTGGGGTCTGTTCTTCCCGCATCCTCTTTAAACGTTTCCAAGTCCCTCCCCAAAGTCCTAAGGAGACCTCTAAAGCCACTCTTTCTCTCCTTTTAACTGTAAACTGCTGTTAGTTTAGTTTAGTTAGTTTAGTTAGTTTAGTTAGTTAGCAGAGTGGGATAAAGAAAGTCAGAGCCCCAGGAAAGCGTCAGTACCCGGGTTCTGTCCAGCCTAGAATCTGACAGCGACGACCCCCAGGCAGAGTTTGGGATGGGGGGGCTCCTGCACAGCCTCCAAAGGCAGAGTGTGGACTGAGCACTCAGGAAACAGCTTTCATGACACGTCCCAGTTCTCCTGTGAGCTCTCTGTATTTCCCACCACGGCGCCACGTCTAGGAAGAGTGAAGTTCATAAGCTGACTCCCCACTCCCTAAAGGGTACACATCTTTCTATCCCAAAGGAGCCACTTTACCACCTTCAATTTGATGACCCACCAAAGAGAAGAAGTAAATGCTTATGATTGGGACCTATGCCATACTTAAACCCTTTGCCAAGTGTTCGCTTTTGCCAAACTATTTCACAGCATACCTACTATTTAAGAAGCATTATCCCCATTTTACTGGTGAGGAGCTGGGTTTGCATCACATCCGGATTAAAGCCTTAGCCTGTTCTCCATATTCATCTCACTGCCAAGTCTGTAACACCTGTATATGCTGCCTTATAGCAACCTCTGTCCAATTAAAAAGTTCTCTTATGTTGATGCCCCATGTCGGTTTCCATGTGGAAGACTGCTCAGAATTGAAACCTGTTGGCTGGAAGCCAATAAATCTTTCATCAAGTGTTCATCGAGACAAGCCGAGAGAGATCCCATCTGCAAGGACACAGCTACCTGCTTCAGAATACAGGAAAACAAGCAGAAAAACATGTCCACTTGCCATGCCTTCCTTATAGCCAGGCCCCAGAATTCTGGGCTGTCATTTCAAGATGCAGAACCCACATCACAAAATAAGGACCTGGTGATCTTCCAGGGGCCCCTATTACAGCACCATCCCACACCAGTGAGTCCCAAGGCAGCCTTCTTCAGTGATGAAAAATGCATCAGTGGGAGGCAGGCATTGTTAGACCCCACCCCCAACCAACTGTACCTTGCTTTGCTTCTTGATGTCTCCACTTGAACCCAGAGGAAGATGGCCAACCTTGGAAGAAAAACATGGGAGTGTTCCAGCGATAAGCTAGTTAGCTCAGCACGCTGAGGCAGCTCACACTTTATGTAGCAGAACCAATTAAATGTCATGATTCATCCTCCCCTTGGCTTTCGGCCCTCATCGACACTTCCAGGAAGGAAGTTACACTGAGGAAGGAAGGGAAGAGGGAGGGAAGCAACAACAACCCCCACCGTGAGAAGCTCCCTGACCTGGGACAGGGGAGGGTAGGACCTGAAGGCTGGCTGCAGAGAGGGGCAAGGAAAGCTGGGTGCTTTGGAGCCAGAGTGCTCATTATGAGAAATTTCTTAATGACCGTTAAGTCCTAAGGGAGGCACGTGAGCAATGCCTGGTGCCAAACATGCTTGCCCGGGGCCTCCTGTCCAGATGGAAAATGTGTAGAGAGTTAGAGAGGAGAGTAGAAGAAATGGCGTGGTTGCTGAAGATGACTGATGGCCTTGGGACGGCAAATCTTGCCCCTGTGGGATCAGGATTTCCTGGAATGAGACACAAAGATTAGTGACTTTCAGGTGAGAAAGAAACTCAGTTCCTGGGTTTTGGAACAAAATGTCTTTGTGGTTCCTTGAGGGTTTCATTTGTGTTCACCCACAGACCTCTGCTCATGACCTTTCTTCTTTCCACATGTCTGCATCCTAGTGGGCCAGAGCTCAGGGCTTCACGCAGGCCCCTTCATGAAATCGTCCCTGATGGTCTAATCTGGGGTCTCCCTCCCCTGCCCTGCTGCCCTGCTGTAGGCAGAAATGATGTTGGTTTGAGATTTTCCAACAGGGATATGTTTTGGGGATGAATGTCTGTCTTCATGGAACCTCAATGTTACTCAAAGATTCTGAGGGAATAACTTAATAAGATGTAATCTATTAAAACATGTTATGGAGTAAGATATAAAATTGGCAAGAACGTGTAAATGAAAGCTGAGACCTAAGGAAAATTTCATGAAGGTGGGGGATCACTCTGGGCCACACCCAACCGGATACCTGCTTGCTCTCCTCTCCACTGGGGGACTTGGGTAAAAGAGCTGGAGAAATAGGCAGTAAGATGTGAGGGGACATTGGAGGGTTCCCTTTTCTTCATAGAGGCCAGAAAAATGGGAGGGGAAACTTTGCTGATTTCAAGTAAATGGCCATGGTTTCACCAATCTGCAATTTAAAAAAAACCACACAATAGCAAGCTAGAATAAAAAAAGACAAGAAATAACAAATGTTGGCAAGGATGTGAAGCAAAAGGAACCCTTGTGCACTCTTGGTGAGAATACAAACTGGTGCAGCCGCTGTGGGAAACAGTATGGAGGCCCCTCAAAAAAATTAAAGATAGAAATACCCTATGACCCAGTAATTCCACCACTGGGTATTTACCCAAAGGAAACAAAAACACCAATTCAAAATGATACATGCACCCTTATGTTCATTGCAGCATTATTTACAATAGCCAAGGTATAGAAGCAACCCAAGTGTCCACTGATAGATGAATGGTAAAGAAGATATCATAGACACACACACACAATGGAATATTACTCAGCCATAAAAAATGAGATCTTGCCATTTGAGTCAACATGGATGGATGTATTGTGCTACGTGAAATAAGTCGATACTGTATATGATACTGAAATACTACATGATTTCACTTACGTGCGGAATCTAAACAAAACAAATGAACAAACAAAAAAGCAGAAACTGACCCATAAATATAGAGAACAAACTGATGTTTGCCAGAGAGGAGGGGGTTAAGGAGATGGGCAAAATGGGTGAAGGGGAGTAGGAGATACAGGTTTCCAGGTATGGAATGAAGAAGTCACAGAGATGAAACGTATAGCGTAGGGAATACAGATATGAGTAGTGTAACTGTTGTATGGTGACAGATGAGAGCTACACTTGCAGTGAGCAGAGCGTAATGTATAGAGTTGTCAAATCACTGTGTTGTACACCTGAAACTAATGTAACAGTCTGGGTCGGTTAGACTTCAATAAAAAAAAGTAGTGCCTGCAAGGTATCATGTGCTTCCTGCATGTTGGGCACTGGACTGGTTGCATTACACAGATCACTTCAATCAATCCTCACAACAACCACTGAGGTGAGTATCACTCCCGCTTTATAGCTGACGAAGCCAAGCCACTATGAGGCAAAGTGACTCACCCCAAGTCAAAAAACTGGTACGATCCAGGGGCGCCTGGGTGGCTCAGTCAGTTAAGCATCTGCCTTCGGCTCAGGTCATGGTCCCAGGGTCCTGGGATCGAGTCCCGTGTTAGGTTCCCTGCTCAGCGGGGAGCCTGCTTCTCCTTCTCCCTCTGCCCCTCCTGCCCCCACTCCTGCTCTCTCTCTCTCAAATAAATAAATAAAATCTTTAAAAAAAAAAAAGCTGGTAAGATCCAGACTCCTAGGTAGTACTCCACGCCACTGTGGGCATATGAAGGAAGAGACATGTGGCATGTGCCTCCACAACGTATCACAGGCCGTCCCTAACACTGTATGATTCTTGGTTGACCTCCACCACTGCAGGGACAGACTCCCAGCTCCAGTGGGGAGATCAGTGTGTCCTAACCGTTCCTCCCCCTCCTGGGGCTCCTGGGCCAGGGGTGTGGGGACCTCACCTCCTGTACCATGATCTGGAAGGTCTCACGGGACCACAGCTTGCCTTTTCTAACCAGAGGTAAAAGGACTGATTCGGTCCATCCCTTTACAAGTTTGGGAATTACCAGGTCAGATCGAAGTGTCCCCAAGTAAGAGATAAGGAGCAACTTGGAGGCAGCCAGGGAACGGCTGGTTGTGAATCCACTCTGCACAGGGAGAACTGAGGGTGAGAACTCAAGGCTGGAGCCCCTCCGCCGGGACAGCTCATCTCCAAGAACTTTTCCATCCAGTAACTTCCTGCGTGATATTTTTCATTGCGGTCACAGTGAGGAACTCTGGTTATTTTTACTAACACACCCCACAGCCATTGCATTTATTTCGTCCTATGGCACTTTATGATGTGTCTGACCCAGGAAAATGTGTGACTCCTGGGGGTGTCAGGGGTGGTCTTTATTTTCTTCCCTCTCTCAGCTTTCCTTTTCCCTGGCACTTGCCTGCCGAGGGAGTGGGTTCTGACTTCCCATGCGCGCTTTTCCACCGTCTGTTCAGATCTGCCCCATCTCCCAA